GCGTTTTGCAAACCTTAAAGTGTTAATGTACATATTATATTACTATTATTATTACCTAGACTGGAGTGGCATGGGGCCTGGACTAGGGCCCCAGTGGCATAGAGAGAAGGGGGTAGCAGTGAGAAGTGTTGTGTAATGGGAAAAGACTAGATTTGGAGTTAGAAAGTCTGGGGTCAGATTTTCTGACCCTGGCTCCCCTTATGTGGCCTTAATAAAATGAGATTAAATGAGGTGCTCTCTAAGGCTCTTTGCAGCCTTAAATTCTATGTCTCCAAAGTGTTCCCTTCCTGATGAGCATATTTTTTTCCCATCATGAACCAGCCTCACCTTGCCTAGCTTTTCATGATGCAAGGCATCTGTGGATATAGGAAGCAGGTAAAAGCAGGATGACTTGAGATTGCAAAGCCATAGTAAGATTAGAGTAAGGCCTTTCCTATAAACCTTTCCAGACTTGTAACATCTTTCAGAACTTGTGTTTCATCTATGTAGCCTTCAAGAACCCAGGAGCACCACCTCCATACCATCCCTATCTTTAGAGTAAAACTTGGCCTTCTAAGGCTTTGCCTTAGGGAATGAGTTATTTGAAATGAATGAATTTTCCAAGTAACTTCCTTAAGAACCAAATTTTTTTTTTTTGGATAATTTTAGATAGAAATCTTTCAGAAATATATGCCTACTTCCCAGTACATTGAGCATTATTTTGCTGAATAATCAAGGAGCACCATTTTGAACACTAATTATTTATTGTACTATATAATATGGCAGGTGCCCTTTGGGCCAATTGTATTGTATAGGGGATTTTTTTTCCCTCCTTATTGAATGACTTAAGATTGCCATAGGTTTTTTAGTTGTTTGTTTTTTTTAAGTATCTCTATTTGTCAGTCTGTCAACTTTTTCTTCTCATTATTCTTAATCTATCTTGCTATAGCAGCTCTTCTCCTGGCTTCTAATTTGTTGCTAATTTGCTGTAGACTTAGAATCCAGATAAACAAGTAATGTTAGAACTGTTTAAAAAAAAAGAAGAGTAAATCAAATTTGGATAAAAACATGAGGGTCTCTCCTGTGGATAAAGGGCATTAACTTTAGGTGGGCTTGACACCTTACTTTGGCTGCCCAAAGTCCAACTCTTCCTCCTTTCTGCTCCTCCATCCCATTGCACATACACAGGTTAGCAGCTAGCTTACTATAGTACTAGAGAAAGACATGACCATTAGCAGAATGCCCTAGGAATATGAGCCCCATGTGACCCTTGGTGCTAAGGCACTGTCATTTCCCTATTTGAAATTTTTCTAACTGGCTTCAAGAGGCACCACAGGATTAGAGAGTGTCTAACCTGTTGGGAGACAGGGGAGAAGAGAGAGACAGTAGCTACCTTGGCAATTTCCTATTGAGCCTCCAGTTGTACAGAGGCCATTGATATTGTCTCCACTGTTTCTCAGACTCCACCAGTTGTGGTACAGAACACTGAGTTTTTCCTTCTTGCTTAGTGACTTTGCTTTCTCGTGCCTGGCCAATCCCTTTCCGCAATTCAAAAGGGAACCATTCAAACACACAAAACAGTAGAGGAGATCAGGGAGTTATTAGTTTATTAGAAAAACTCTATTAAATGAGTTGGGAAGCTCTTCCCAAGCAAAAACTCGGGTTTGATTTTCCTCTCTGCACAGTGGAAGCACATTTGAGCAGATGGAGTCAGAGGGTCTGTGCTCACTGGGCTCACCATATTCTCAGGGCCCCCCTCACACCTCACCCACCCTCCCTGAGTTCTCTCGTCCATGGTACAAAGCTTTATGATGAGCTGACAATCATTTCTCTCTTCTTTCTGGTTCCTGTAATCTTTTCCAGGAACCTTTCTGGGTTCCTTGAGCCTGGCAGGAAAGCAGAATGATTTAGAGCAGTTATCAGCCTCATCCACATGCCTCCTGTGACAATACCAAATAGGGAGTTGGAGGCCCCCTCCCTGCACACACTGCTCCAGCCCTGGCCAACATCTAGATGAGGGGAGCAAAGGATAAATGGGTAGATGAGAATCAACTGAGCCACTCCCTCAAAAAAACATTCTGGAGAGAAAAAATCCTGTTGGGCTAATAGGGACAGAGGTGTGAACCCGGTATAGGAAAAGGATGAAAGAAAAAGACCATAAAGTAGAAAATGTAAGAAAAATATGTACCTCCCCTGGAGCTCAGTCCCAGTGGTGCATGACCTAGCCCATAATGAGTAAATTGTCCTGCAGTTTCAGCCCAGTTCTGTCTCCTGCCCAAGGTGGTGGTCAGGATGATAGAGATGGAAAGGAGCAGAAGGTGGCATTTCACATACCTGAAATGAGCTAGCTGCCCCCATGAGCTCTCCCAGGGATCTGGGGTGGGATGTTTATCTCTCCTGAATGTGCCCGTTGTTTGGGGTAGCATGGGATAGGGAAAATAATAGTTTATGGCATTCTCTCCACCCCCCATTCCAGCCCCAGGTAACTCCTTAAGAATTCCCCCATAGAAATGAGGAAAGCTGCTGCCATGAGAAGCTTCTCTGTAGCGTCCCGACTAGAGCGTTTTTGTAGATGCCAAGTGCTGCCTCACCTATTTTTTTTTTTTGGCCAGGTAGGTGCCCTTCCATTTCATATTCTCCTGACTGCAGTGGAACGCTACACACCTGAGACCACAATACTACGTGGCCAACAGAGAGTTGGAATTGGATAAATTAAGAGATCTGATGCCAACTAAAGGTCATGTCAGTGATCTAGGGCCCAAAGAGGACTCTTGGTTCCTGAAGTGGAAAGACTTACCCTGGGAATGCTAGGCTCCTATCAAGCAACTTCTCATGTTCTTTGATCAATAATCCTCCTATAGTGGGTTCCACATGAAATATACCTTGGAGTAATGCCAGAGCAAAAGGATAGAAACCGCACAGTTTTCCTGTATGCTGCCTTCTCCCACCACCAATGGCCAGGGGTTAATGTGAGAAGGGAGAACTTGAGAGGTGTAGGCCAAATGGGTGCCTCTAAAGGCTTCTGGGTACCAATGGATACAGCCTGAGCTGCTGTTGCTCAATATCTGTCCACAGTGCTGTCCCCAGCAGAGCCCTCACCTTTTCATAAGGAATTTCAAGTTACTCCAGTTCTCTTTCTTCAGTAAGACAGTGGAGATAGAGAATGCAGATCCTTTCATTGGACCTGTGAGAATGAGGATGCCTTCCTCTGCAGGCTCTGGACCCTAATCCACTTATTCTTTCCCCTTGGGGAAATGTTATGTTTCCTTGTGCTTGTCCCTGGAGCCAGCAACCGCCGCTTCATCACTGGCCCCTATCCTTTCTGACAAGACATCACTTAGAGTCATGTTGCTCTCAGAATGGAGCAGTGGAAGGGGAGACTTGTAAAATTCAGTCTCTGGCCTCCGGGAATGGCCCTGGTCCTGTGTAAGAAGGTTTTTCTTGGGAGACAACAGGATGTACAGATCTCAAATTTATCTGTGAGCAGAGGGGGAGGATGAACTCTGCACCCATCTGTCCCCTTCAGGACTCAAGGCCTTCTTGCCCTTTTGAAAGATGTTCCTCTTTGAAGCCCCATGGATGGATGAATACACCATTACTGTGTGCTCACCTCCTAATAGGCTCCAACTCTAGCATGAGGTGGTATTCCAGCTACATGTACAGGTACTGCTTACCTCTGGTTATCAGTGACACCCTTCATTCTCTGGGCACTGTGGGTTTTCAACCTCTGTCTCAGTGGGGTGATTTGTTCTGGGCTTTCTGCTAATCTGGTACCTTCAAGGGTACCAGCTGGAAAAGAAGAGTGAGTGCAATGGGGTCTTCAGCTTTGGGGTGTTCTCTAGGCCCCCATGGCTGCTGTCCAGCTGGAGTCTGCAGAAACTGCACTGTTACTCCCTCAAGGGCCCTGGATCAGCACGGAAGGAAGAAGGGCCCTGAATCTGAGTTATATGTATATATGTATTATATATATATTGCTGCTGGATTGATCTGCTGATGAAGTTTAAAACCAGAGCAGAGCCAGAGGCAGAGACACAAGGGATCAGTCTCCTCTCAGGGCTTAGGAGTCAGGAGCTCTAACCATCATTTTTAAAGAGCTCTCTTGTCCCTGCTTCCTGCCACCCAAGTAATGGGTACCGACTTAGGCAAATTGCTGGCAATTATACAGTTCAGGAAGGACTCCCAGAATACTGGCCTTATGATTAGTGGCATTATGGGGAGGGGAGAAGTGGATGGCACTGGGGGCAAAAGTCCCATTTCTTGGGGAAGCCTATGGGCCCGGATGATATCCATGGTTCTGTAACCTTTCTTTACCTTCACTCTGTCCAAATGCTAAGATTTTGTGTGTCCTTAAGCTACAGAGTGCTTATCCTGGGACTGAGTAGGAGCTGGACAGCTTGTCTCCTCTCCTCCTAAACCCACCATTGAAAGGGTGAATGGGCGTGAGATAGCAGTCAAATCAAAGGTTGCTTGGGGGCAAGGGGAAGAATAAAGCAGTATGTGAGGCCTACTAAAGGAGCTTTCATCCTAGAGGAGAGAGTGGGGCCAGTGAATCCATACACAGCTCAAGGACACAGGATATACAGGTGTCTGATTAAAGCGTAGGGAAGGACTGCCTCCAATTGTCAGGAACCTGGAAAGGGAAAGGCATCTGCCCTACACAGGCCCCTCTTCTCCTCTCTGGGCATGTCTTAAGTCAAAGAAACTCCTACCTCAGTGATTTCCCAAGCGGGGCAGGGGAGTGGTATTGAGAGGAGTAGAAAGTAGGCCCATCCTAAATTAGAAGAGAGGGAAAGTGATAATGGTCAAGGAGTGCAATCCCAGCTTTGCCCTCAAAGGTCGGCCATGCCACAGGGCCCTGGTGTGGGATGAGGTGACAGCCCCTTATGTAGTGCCGTGTTAGTGCTGAGAGGGAATGGAAGTTACCTTCCAGGCTGTTCTGATTCAGTCCAGCCTATTCCTCTCCCCAGACCTGGGCTGAGACTGATCCTTAGTCCCTATGACCACCTAGGGGTGGACTGGGCTACAGACAAAGGCTGGGTCTATGGGGCTAAGGGGACGCATGGGGTAGGGAGAAGAAGGGATTGGCTGGGTAGTGGCCAGTGGATTGTGGCTGAGGTAAAGCTTGTGGGCATCCTGCCTGGACAGTGGAGAGTGGGGGGTTGGTTGAGGAGGAAAGTGATGGTTGGCCTGGGCTGGGGGCCTCTGCACTGAATATCCTGAGCAGAATCAATGTTGTCCAATGGGGTGGGGGCCCAAGGTGGACCTTTTACCTCTCCTTCACCTGCCCCCATCCCACAAAGGAATAGGAGAAGGAGCTACTTCTTTTTGGGGAAGAAGCTGAATCTCTTCTCCTTGTCCTTCTTTCCAAAGCTGGTATCTGTGCTGGCGATGGAGGGTAGGGGGAGGCTCTGGGCCTTAACTTGGATGCTTTGGGATTCGGTGATAGCTGTGCTCACACCCTGAAGCCAGGAGAGCATCTCTTCCTGTGGAAGGGGAGAGAGAAAAGGAAAAGAGGGGTAAGGGAGGGAGCTAGAGGTAAGTATCCCCTACACCTTGGAAAGAAGGTATATTATGAAATAACCCCTCAGCTACAGGCTCGGTCATCACTGTAATCATCACTGAATGCTGGTATGAAATTGTATAGTAATAACCCTAACCCAATGGCTTCTGGGTAGAAAGCAGCAGAGGCTATGCCTATGTCAGTTGGTGTGTGCACGTGTGCATGCCTGTGTATGTGTAACGAAAATAAGTATATCCATGAAAGAGGAACACAGAAGCTCAAATTCACTTTTCCCAACATTACTGCTCAAGCTCCTCGTGAGGTCACATTGAAGATGAGCCACAGTCTCAAACACATGGTCTATGTGACCAAAGGTGGCCCTGGAAAATGGGGCAAGACCAAAGCAAGGACATGGTTGAGCCATCCTTGTGCTTCATGAGGCCCTTCAATGTTTTAGTTTTGAGTTTCAGAACTAACCACCAGAACTTAAGATAGTTACCCTACCTAATGTGGGTAGGGCTTCCCTCAGGGGAGGTCACAGATGTATCTATACATATGTAGGAACAGACACATAATAGGATATACAAATATATATGAGTGTATATATACATATATATACACATTCTCTCTCTCTCTTTCCATATATGAAATGTACATACAAAATTGCCTGAAGACGAAGGAGCCTACTACTGTGTATTCCACAGGATGTTTGGGATAAGACCAGATGTGCTGTCTAGGAGGACAGGCATCTTTGACCTCCCTCTGGTACTAGACTGAGTAAGGTCAGCCCTGTGTTTAAAGGGATATGAACCACATACTCCTCCACATCCACCCATGGTGCCTTGCATAATGCTACCTTCTCTTGAAATATTTGTGCTTTTTCTATTCTGAACTTACCTCATCCTTGCCATGGAAAAGCCATTCACTGCCATTACTCAACCTGGAATGAGAAAGAGTTTCTTGTCCTGTGGTTGCCCCTAAAAGACCCCAACACAGATTAAGCAAGAAGCTAGTTTATATCTTTGAAGAACTCTATATCCCCATTTCTCTCAGACTTCTTCTACCTCACAGCAGCCCCTACAAATAGATGTGCCTCAGGCCAAAGTAGAACACAGAGCCATTTGACTCTAGGGCCTTCTGAGTTTTGAGGGATCTTTGAAGGTTGGGTTGGCACTAAGACTGATTCCATTCTTGAACAGACTATAATTCAAGTCAGGAAGTTTGTGGCCTCATTAGGCCTAGCTAAAAGTAAACTAAAGCTCTAACATCTGCCTGGGGCCGAATACTCCAGAGAAGCCATGACTCCAGTCCAAAATTCCCAAGACTACTCAGTCTTCTTGGAGGGTATGGGGAGCAAGCTTCTTGGGGCATAAGAGGGAAGGGTTGAGATTAATTCCCCTCCCCATTGTCCCAGGGACTAAGAATTCTGGTAAACTAGGAGGGTCAACCTCACCTAGAAAACTGTATGCTCTTTGGCCCTAGATGAAGGTCCTCACATGTAGTCATGCCCTCTCAGCTAGAACCCTGTTTGATTTACCAGCTACATGAATTCCACACAACTTTGAACTCTTGATGCTCAGGGTAGAAAAATGTATGGTCCCTGCCCCAGCCTCCCACATAATTTCACCTCAACTTAAAGACATGTTTCTTCTTCTTATAGTCAGCAGCAACTTCACAAATGGCATGCCTCAGACCCAAAGGCTCTTCCCCATGGTATGGCACCCCCATGGCCAAATTCTTAGCATCCTTGTAGAATGTCAACTCGTTGTTTCTGAGCACACAGTACAGGTTATTCCAGGACCTGAAAATGAGAAAAAAAAAATAGAATCTCTCGTCACCTCTGGGCCCAGATGCAAGTTCTTAATAATAATTTTTGTATTGGTATAACATCTTTTAAAAAATCACCTCATTTCAGCCTTACAACAACACTGCAAGGTAGGGAGGTTATGCTCACTTGACAAGGCCACTGAAGCACTGAGGTGAAAAGTCCCATAGTAAATTAGTAGCAGACCTAAAACTTAATATAATACCTTATGATGTATAATACCTTACAATGCTTTACAGTTTTCAGGGTGTTTTCCCATAGCTAATCTCAGAGAATCCTCACACTTTCCCTGTGAGCAGGACAGGTTTGTTATCCCAATTTGACAGATGAAGAAATTGAGGTTTAGAGCCATTAACTGGCTCTAAAGTAACTCTAAGGGACTCCATTTGCACTTTTGCTACCTCTAGGCTTGGTCCCACTGTCCACTTCATTGTCACCCAGAATTATACTGCCTTCAAGAATCTAAAATCTGATATTCCTCTCTCCGACCATAATTTCTTGCTGTTTCATCTCTCCCCATAAGAGCTGGCATTAGACAGCCTTCTATCCTGACTTTCTTAATGTAGGGCCTGTGACTTCCACCCCCACACCATGGGGCCTGCTGTCTTACTGCATCTCAGAGTTTATTCCTTGAAGAGCCCTAGCCCACAACTAAGTGAGGATAATGTGAAACAGATAGCAGACTCATCGGGCAAGAGCCCATTTGATTCAAAAATGCTTCTTTATGATGAGCTGGACCAAGCTAAATCGATCTCAGGTCAATTCAAATCAGACCAGGGAAGTTCTGGCCTCCTTGATCTTGGAAGATTCATTTTATTACTTGATAAGCTTGGAAATATGGCAAACTTCAGAACTCTGGGACCTGATGAATAGTCACAACCCCTAGGAACTCTTGGACCTCCCTATGGCTATTGTCCACAGGAGGAAGCTTTGAAGAGCACCCTTAGCAGGGGTTGACTGGAGGTGGTTCTGTAAAACAAGGAAAAGGGTATATGTGCCCTGGTGTGGGGATTCTTAACTTTTTGTGCCACGGGCCCCTCTGGCGTTCTGGTGAAGCCTATGGCCCCCTTCTCAATAATATCTTAAAATTTATAAAACAAACAAGTTCACAGACTTCTGCTAGGGGATTAAGCCCAAGGAATCTGACCGAGATGTGAGTGGCCCCCAGGATCTGCAAGTAAAATGAGGACAGCATGAAGCCCCAGGGGTTTCCCTAGGTGGGTCCTGAGGCTGCTGGAGTTTACCTTGGATCTGACCCCCAGTTGCTCCAGAGAAGCCCCTGGAACAAAAGACTGGGAGCAGGGGAAGGCCATGGAGAGTTTCAGTGACTATGGAGGGACCACTCCAAAGGTCAATTAGTCATAGCCCATTGAGTCACTGTCACGGTTTGTGCTTTTGGACAGGCCAGTAGTGGCCTAGCTATGTGAAGATTTGTACAACCTAGCTGTATTCCTAGCAGGAGCCTCTTTGTTAACCCAGTTTTGGGGGGCCCACTGCTGAACCTGAGGTGTGCTGGAATCTCTCACAGCTCAGAGACCAGAAGATAGGGTGGAGCTCCTGACTGAGGAGTTGTTGTGCTACATCCCCTCATTTCTTTTGTTTGTTTTTTGATGAGGCAAGTGGGGTTAAGTGACCTGCCCACAGTTACACAGCTAGTGAATGTTATGTGTCTGAGGCGGGATTTGAAATCAGATCCTCCTGACTCCAGGGTCGGTGCTCTATCCACTGCACCACTTAACTGCCCCCATCCCCTCATTTCTGACCCTAGCCTGCTGCTGAAACTAATCTTCTGTGGGTGGTGAAGGAAAATGTCTAGAATCTGATGGGAGAAAAGAGAGAAGGATGTCCTCATGCCCAAAGTTAAGCCTCAGAATCAGCCCATAACGAAACCACGCAGCACATTCTGTTGTCAGACCCACAGGCCTCCCCTTTCCTCATCATTTTCCCTCTTTTTTACCTTTCCCTCAAAGTATCGCATATCTTTCTGCTCTCTCTCCATTCTCATAGACCAAGAAAAGGACCACTTTGAGGTTCTTTGATCGCTGAGACCATATGATCAGAGGATTTAGAGGTAGAACAGACATTAGAGCTCACTCCAATCTTTTCATTTTATAGTTAAAGAAACTCAGGCTAAAAGCACTAAATGACTTGTTCAAGGTCACACAGACAGTAAATAGCATAACAGGAATTCAAATCCAGACCTTCTGAGCCTAGGTGCAATTATCTCTTCATTATAGTTGCATTAATGCTCTTGGTGGTATTTTTATTTTCAAAGGAAGGAAGCTTTCAGACAAATTAATGCATCTCTAGCTGTGGAATATCAGGGATTGATTGATGGCTAGGGGAGGGAAGAGAACTCTAAATCATTCTATGCATGAGGCTGCCTATTCTGCTACCTGCTCGGCTTAGAGATAAGGCTGTCCCTGTTGTCCTTCCTGTCCCTTGCTGTCCCCCACCTGTTGGACGCCTTCTTATTGGGCCCCTCCAGGTCATGCTTGCGGCCCAAATAGCCCTCCATCTGCATGCTGTGGGATCGGTCCAGCTGGGCAGGCAGGGTGGTCGCTGTCTCCTCACTCTCACTCACAGGTGTGTCCAGAACTTTGAAAAGCGGTTCCAAGGTCAACTTCTCTTCTCTGCCCGTTCTCTCCTCCTGCTGCTGCTGCCTCAACTTGTCTTCTTCCTGTGTCTGGTGGCAAACAGGAGAGACAGACCTTACTGATTGTGGCTAAGGTTCCACAGAGGATGCGCTGGTTCAAGCACCTCAGAGGGATTGAAAGAGCCGTCAAACACGGATGCTTTCCTCTCTTCCTTTAGAGGCAGGTCTGGGAAGAGAGATCCAGGTCCTGGGGTGCATTTCCACCCAAACTCTCCCTACCTCAATCCCTAGCACCTCAGTCTGCACCATGAGTGTGTCCCCTCTCTGATCCTAGAATAGTAAACATCCGCAGACTCAGGAGATGGGAACAGGAGGTTGTCTTCCCCTCTTCCTCCCTGGTTTCCTTTGCCATCTCCTGGCTATCTTGATTCCCTCACTTTGGCGTCCCAACCATGCCTGACCACCCAGACAGTTCCCCATCAATGTTAACAGATTCCACCACCCTCTCCCCAACCCTTGTCAATGTCGTGTGGACATAAGATACTCTCTCACAGAATTATAGATTTAGCACTATTAGGGGGACTAGAAATCATCTAGTTTAGCCCCCTTCGTTTTACAGGTGAAGAAAATGAGACCCAGTATATGTGTGCAGAGGAGAAAGTGTACACATGGCTTAGGGGATTTTTTTTTTATAGTTTATGTCCTTGCTCTTGATTTCTCAGTAAATGCCTTTTTGTAAAAGCTAATTGAGGTCAATATGGGGGAGCTCATGAATGATAGTGCCAGAAATTCCTAGGACCCTGAAGGGAGCAAGCGTTGGTCACCTTCTGGGAGGCAATCAGGTAGTAGCTGATAGAGAAGGACCCAATCACCACTCCTCTGATGGAGGCTTTCTAAATGGCAGCAGCTAGATGGGGAGGTGAATAGAAAACACCAGGCCTAAAGTCAGGAAGACCTGAGTTCAAATCAAAATTTATTAGCAAGTTACGTCCTTTTCCTCAACTGTAAAATTGAGATAATAATCTCCAACTTACCTCCAGTATTGTTGTGAGGATCAAAGGAGATATTTGTAAAGCACTTAGAATAGTGCCTAACACATAGTGGGTGCCTAATAAATGCTTCCCCTCTGTCCTTCTGACTCCAAATCCAGCGCTTTCTCCACTGCACCATAATGCCTCTATCTTTAACAATTTTAGCACTTGTTTCAGCCTTTCTCTTCAACTCATCTCCTGCTGTCATCCTGGGAGAAGTCAATAGCCATGGTAATAACCCTTCTAACATCCATTTCTTGGTTTCATGGTATTCTCCTTCACCTACATCCTCGCTCCTCACTTCATACCCTTGGCTTTTTGCCATTTGCCTCCTTGCTGACCTTTAGCCATAAGCGACCTTTACCACCTTCTCTTTCTATTCTTGCTTCCAGCTATCGAGTATTGCTAGAAAAAAGCCACAAACTGGGCTGATTATATGCCTTATATTCTTTTTCTATCTAACCTTAATTTGGTCCTTACTACCACATGGCATTCCTTCCCCCTCCCCATTTATGATAATTCTCTGTTACATTCCTCATAGAATCTGCTCCATTTTTCTCAAATTTTGGACTCTATCTCTATCCTTCATACTGTCAGAAGATATTTTCAACTCCCATTTTATTAAAAAGATTAAGGCCATCCATGCTGAGCCTCCTTAACTCCCTTCTGCCTATTTAAGAACTTCTATGAGGCCATTTATCCTTTTTTCTTTGTTTCAGAGATGATATCATTCCCTTCCCTGCTTGTTCTAAGTCTTTCACACCCTTGATTCCATCCTCTCCCCATTCCTCCTAGATCTTATCCCATTGAGCATTCCTTCTCTCTGACATCTTCAATTTCACCCTACCCAGTGGTTCCTCTTGCTTGTACACATGCTCAGTTCTCACACATTCTATTAAAAAAAAAACTTCCCTTGATATTCTGCACCCTTGCCTTATGTCCCATGACAAGTAATATCAACAGGTGAATAAAATGCAGGTTATTAAAATTTCCCTGTTAGAAAGAATATATGTGCGTACATGTGTGTGCGTGTGTGTCTATCTATATCTATATCTATATCTATATCTATATCTATATCTATATATATATATATATATATATATTTCTTCCAGAAAAGATCTGGAAGAATGCTTCTCTACTATTCAGATTGTCAGGGAGAAGGAAATGTTCCTAGAGTTTGGAAAAAAAATGCTTCAGAAGGAAAATAAAGAAGAAAAAGTATCTAAAAAGAAAGGAAAGATTCCTGATCTCTGACAGGAAATTTGTGAGGAGAAGAATGTGACGCAGAGAATGGAGGGAAGAAGGAAGACCAATGAAGTTTTGTAACAGGTATAAGGGACAGAGCTGGATTGTTTGAGAAAGCAGCAGTTTCTTGAAATCCATTATTAACATTTATTACGCACCTACTATGTGCTAGGCGCTGTGCTAAACACTGGGATAAATGAGCTAAAAGGGGCAAGGGACTGGCATTGTATATTAAAAACATGTAACTGAGATGTGCATAAGACCAGAGGGAAGAAGGATGGTAAGAGCATTTGGAAAGAGAAACAAATGATACTGTGGTGGGAGAATGATACTTCCCACTGGGCCAGAAGGATAATGCATTCAGGATAGGGATCACAAACTTGCCACACAGAAATAATATAGTAGTAATGGCGGAATTCAACTATCTGAACATATGTTGGAATTCCTGGCTTCCTTCAGGTCCCAGCTAAAGTCCAACCTTCTACAGGAAGTGTTTCCTGATCCCCCTTAATTCTAGTGCCTTCTACTTACATGAACTGAAGCAGAATGAAGTGAGCAGAACCAGGAGAATTTTGTATGCAGCAATATTACAAAAGACTTAGTTACTCTGATTAAGACAATGATCCAAGACAATTCCAAAGGACCCATGCTGAAAAATACTATCCACTCCAAAAATAGAATTGATGAACCCTGAATATAAATTGAACCATACCTTTTCTACGTTTTAAATTTTTCTTACCTTTTCCCCCTTTTTTCCTTTTGGCTAGGTAATGAGGTTAAGTGACTTGCCCAGGGTCACACAGCTAGTAAGTGCTATGTGTGTGGGGCCGGATTTGAACTCAAGTCCTCCTTAATCCAGGGCTGGTGCTCTATCCACTATGCCACTTAGCTGCCCCGTAATTTTTCTTACTTTTTATGTGTGGTTTTTTTGTAACATGACTAACGTGAAAGTGTTTTATGTGACTTCACACGTGTAACTGATTCCATATCATTTGCCTTCTCAATGGGTAGGGAAGAGAGAGGAGGGAAAAAATTTGGAACTCAAAATTTTAAAAAATGAATATAAAAAAATTTTAAGTGTGATTGAGAAATATTTAATGAAATAAATATAAATATAATTTAAAAAGAAAAAAAACTCTACGCCTTCCCTCTGTTGATTATCTCCAGTTTATCGTGTCCATATAGCTTGCTTGTAAATGATTGTTTGCATATTGTCCCCCCTATTAGATTGTAAATTCTTGGAGAGTAGAAACTGTCATTTGCCTTTCTTTGTATTATTTGTCTAAATCAGTCTGGCATATAGTAGGCACTTAATGTTTCCTGACTAACTGACTGCAGTTGTCTTGCTGAAAACAGAACAGGTATTAAGTTCTTGATTTGTTTTAATGAGGTGGACAAAGTCACGAGGTAAAATGCTATTTTGGACTTGGTTCTGACTCTACCATCCTCAAGCCTCGCTGTGCCCCAGCTCTTTATCCTGAAGCCCCATTCTCCTACCAGGTATACCCCTGCCTTTTCAGCTTTCTTTTAGATGTTGTCTTCCCCCATCAGAATGTAAGCTCTTTGAGGGCAGGGGCTATTTCTCTTTCTATTAGTATTTGTATTTCCCAAGCTTAGTACAGTGCCTGGCACATAGTAAGCACTTAATAAATGGTAGTTGAGTGACTGATAAAGTTAATTCAACTCAATGAAATATTTATTAAGCACCTATTATGCTAGACGCTGGGGGTACAAAGACAAAAGCAAAGGAATCCTTGCCCTCAAGGAGCTTTCAGCCTACTAAAGGAGACAATGTAGACATAAGTAAATAAATACAAAGAATATGCAAAATAATTTTAACAGGGAGAAAGAGCTACTGGGGGGAGGATAAAAGAAGGAATCAGGGAAGGCCTCATGTAAGTACATGGCTCCTTAGTAGCATTTCTTTTTTTGGGCTAGGCAATGGGGTTAAGTGACTTGCCCAGGGACATACAGCTAGTGTCAAGTGTCTGAGGTTGGATTTGAACTCAGGTACTCCTGACTCCAGGGCCAGCGCTCTATCCATTGCACCACCTAGTTTCCCCTTTGGTATCATTTTTTTTTTAAAGTTATGGATTCTAGAAGATGGAGGCAAGAAGGGAGCACTTTTGAGACATGGAACCACTTGTGTAAAAGCATGGTGGTAGGGGATTGAATGTCAAGCACAGAGAACAATTATTAAGTTGGTTTGATTGATAAGTGCGCAAAGGAGAAATAACATAAAATAAAGAGCAATTGGTTTATTGTCATTCAGTCGTATCTGACTCTTTGTGACTTCATTTGGGGTTTTCTTGGCAAAGATACTGGAGTGGTTTGCCATTTCCTTCTCCAACTCATTTTACAGATAAGGAGACTGAGGCAAATAGGGTTAAGTGACTTGCCAAGGATCACACAGCTAGTAAGTCCCTGAGGATGGATTTTAATTCAGGTCTTACTGACCCCAGGGCCAGCACTCTACCCACAGTGCCACTTGGCTGCCCAGGAATTGGTTGCAATGTAATTTTGACAGGACCTTTAGAAGAAAGTGACCATTCCATTTGAAAGTCTATAATAGTTAAAGAAAAGAAAGGCAAGCATAAATTCCCTCACACCCCAGATTTTGAGAAAATGAATTTTAAAGTGTTCAAAGAAAGTATAGTGATGATACTTTAACCTAAAATTCTACAGAGTATGTCGGCCCCAAAGGGATGGGATAGTTTCAAGAACAAAATTCTAATTATACAAACAAATTATTCCACTGATGAATACTAGGGGAAAATTGGCTACGGAGTCTCCCATGAATGCACAATGAATTCA